TCACGTACGCACAGTGGCGGGGTTTACGGGCTATTCATGCCCGTGCCACCCCCCTTGGGTGGCTTAATCAATCAATCTGGTGGCGTGGGTCACTACCTAAGTCCAGTACCTGGGATACACGCCTCTATACGTGTATCCTAGGTACACGTATAGAGGTACGTGTACCTCTATACGTACGTACGGAACACGTACGTCTTCCCTCAGGTAACCGTCTTGCAGCACCACAGTGGCAATCATAGACTCGTGCCAACTAGGCAACTCAACAGCAGGTTCAGAAATGGGGCCCAGGAGATAAAGCTCACAAAATACTCACTCACAGGCTTCCAGTCATTAACAAAAGCAAACTGGCATCCGACTTCTTCTGGAAGAAGTTGCCTGGAATTAGATTTTGTACTTAAAATCTGGCCTTCAACTTTGTGGAAGGAAGAGGCTTTCACAACTACTAGTATCGGTGCATTCTACTGGTGGTCAAGTTCAAGAATGTTTATTGAGACAAGAAAATACATATTTCAAAGGGATAGAGTAGCTTAGGCTATTTCTACGCCCCTGCGGGCGTAGATCACCTACAGGCTACGAGTATTTCCCAGTTTCTTTGACTCATTTGACAGATTTGAAGATCCCAGCGGTTCGAGTTCAAACCGTCCAGTAACTCTACAGCCCTAAAGACTGCAAATGAGAGAATATTAAAGCCACAGAATGGGATCGAACCCGCGTCCCTGCAGACTCTTCAAGCGGACATACTACCACGAAGAACTTGTCAACCAGAAGTATAAATATAACAGAGTCTTGTGATTACACTGTTACCAGACCGGTCGGAACACTGTTACCAGGAGCTGGTCGGCCGAGCGGACAGCACGCTGGACTTGTGATCATGTGGTTCTGGGTTCGTTCCCAGGCGCCGGCGAGAAACAATGGGCAGAGTTTCTTTCACCCTATGCCCCTGTTACCTAGCAGTAAAATAGGTACCTGGGTGTTAGTCAGCTATCACGGGCTGCTTCCTGGGGGTGGAGGCCTGGTCGAGGACCGGACCGCGGGGACACTACAGCCCCGAAATCATCTCAAGATAATTTCAAGATAGCCCAGCCTGTCCTCTCAACTTGCCACAACGGGCAAAAAACGCTGTACTGAAACAGCCAAACCGATCATCACCCAACCTAACTCGGCGATCCATGCACACAAATAACTTTAATGTTTGTGAACCTGAGGGAAGACGTACGTGTTCCGTACGTACGTATAGAGGTACACGTACCTCTGTACGTGTACCTAGGATACACGTATAGAGGCGTGTATCCCAGGTGCTGGAGTTAGGTAGTGACCCACGCCACCAGATTGATTGATTAAGCCACCCAAGGGGGGTGGCACGGGCATGAATAGCCCGTAAACCCCGCCACTGTGCGTACGTGACTCGCGTAGTTCGTCCTCTTCCCTCGTGGTGGCTCGCACGAAAGAAACTTTTTACTTGTCGTTCTTGGTACTTGTGAACCGCTGTGATTCATAGTTCACCATTGTTTGCTCGTTGGGAATTTTGACGTCAATGCGATGTATTATGCGATAGAACAGGTTGTTCCAGCATCCTCTCTGACACTTGCAATCAAAATGTTAAGAGGGTTACGATTATAAATAATAATAATAATTGTTGAATTATTTTGATTATAAATGTAATCACAACATATATGTAATGTAAGTAATTTCTATCAATGTATTATTATAAAAGAAAACTTATTTTTATTTGTCATGCTTATTCCAGGAACGGCGGCGATTCTGGGATAATCCTGTGGCAGTGTGTGATAGTTCATGGAACATGTGGATGACATTTGCAGCGGCTGAGGCAGCAGCAGAGCAGGGAGCAGCAGCAGAGCAGGGAGCAGCAGCAAAGCAGGGAGCAGCAGCAAAGCAGGGAGCAGCAGCAGAGCAGGGAGCAGCAGCAGAGGCTCCTCCCCTTCCTCCTCAGAGGTCACAAGGAGTTCACACCATACCAGATCAAATATATGAATCGTACAAGAAAAAGATTTGTGACTGATATGAATCCCAGCACCAACACCAGAGGCACACACAAACTGGATAACATCGGCAGCACGTGACACGTAACATAACGCAAATTAACCCCCTAAATATGGACTCTTAAGACAATCTATGCAGCCTATGTGAGACCAATACTAGAACATGCAGCACCTATGAATCCGAATCTCTAAGCACAGAAGCACGAGATAATGTAGACGTTTACAACAAGATTGGTACCTGAACTAAGACGGTTAAGTTGTTAAAAGTCCACTACGGGATCACCATAGCCCATGCTACTAGGAAATTCTGTTCCCAGTAGCTGAATGTTTAACAGTAACACTACACACCAACCATTGCCTCCACCATCATACACCTCCCCTATCGCTCCCGTTTTTAATTACAAGTGATGAACCGGGATTCAGAAGCTGGTGTAATTACCGGATAACGTCTGAAATTTTGTTTTTATAATTTAGTTCAAACAAAAAAAGGGAGAGATGCGTTGCAATATTTATATTGGGTAGTGAAATGGCCAGCGTTCCCAGGCGAATTATGTCCGAACGATTTTTCACAGTATCGAGCCCCAGGCTTTAAGTCTGGGCTCTTATTCTAATATATATCGGCTTAGCGCTCTCTTTATCTTACCTGTGCACAATCTTACGGGATCCGTGTTCAGTATATTGTCCTCAAAGTTTGGACAACTTGTCATTCTCATCTGCAAGATTTCAAGTTACCGGTTCATTTGTCATCACCATTAATTCAATTCCGTCGCGTTAGTTCTTGAATACTCTAAAACTAAGGCCCTTATAAACTCAAGTTTCATATCTTGACCCATCACATGTATGTATGTGTATTTATCTGGGGGGTAGAACATAAGAACATAGGTAACTGCAGAAGGCCTATTGGCCCATACGAGGCAGCTCCCATCTCAAATATGAAATAGCCTAAGCTACTCTATCCCTTTGAGATGTATTTCTCTCTTGTCTTGTTGAGATGTATTTCTCTCTTGTCTCAATAAACATACTTGAACTTTTGTATTTATCATAAATTTTGACCCCCCAAAAATAGGCTTTAAAGCAACCTTTTCTTCTAATAGTGTATCGCATTTTGACGTATAATTTATTCAAGCCTAAATAAAATATGCAAAAAAATGGTAGCAGTTCGCGAAATTGACGATGTCCAGTTTTCTGTTCGTGGATCCTCGGATAGGTTAGGTTCGGGCATTTTAGTACAATAGTGATGTTGGGAACGCTCGGGAGAACAGGCTGCTTGAAAGAGCTGGCGAGTTATCAGGGGCCTGATAGCTGAGTAGGCAGCGCTCGGAATTCGTAGCCCTAAGGTTTCGGGTTCGATCCCCGGTGGAGACAAATGGGCCGAGTTTTTCATCCTGATGCTCCCGTTTATCTAGCAGTAAATAGGTATCTGGGAGTTAGACAGCTGCTACGGGCTGCTTCCTGGGGATGTATAACAAAAAGGAGGCCTGGTGGAGGACCGGGCCGCGGGGACGCTAGGCCCCGAAATTAAAACAAATAATTTTATCGAGGTAAAATACACACAAAGGGATGAGGTAGCTCAAGCTATCCGTTCAGTACAACGTGTTCATACATATATACACACACATCACAAACAATAAACATATTACCGAACATTGAGTGATAAACATATTACCAGACGTCATGTACTAGGTGTTGAATTTGACAATATAATCTTGGTACAAAATTCCGAAATCATCTCAAGAAAACCTCAAGTACGGAACTAAATATAATCCCAATTCTGATTCAAGCCTTGATCTTTTTGCCTGCTTATAAACTATTCATCTCCCTCAGGATAGCTGACATTTGGCTAGTGGGTCATGGACGGGGAGGCACTCCGGTGAAAACTGCTATCGGGCAGTTGACCAGACCACACACTCGAAGTTGAAGGGACGACGACGTTGGTGCTATCGGGCACCAAATTTCTGAAGTATGTATGGCGATCGTTCGTGAAATTAACAAGTGATAACCAACCATATAATTAACAACGTCTTCTCCTTACGTTTACAATCACATATTAAGTAAAATATAGATGTTTATCTCTCAGAATGTTTGGTAATATGTTTATTGTTTGTGATGTGTTTATATGTATGTATTAACACGATGTACTGAACGGGGTGAGAATAGCTTGAGCTACCTCATTCCTTTGTGTGTATTTTACCTCAATCTTATTTCAATCACATATTAAGATTAAATACCAGAACGTCTATAAACATGCAGGAGTATCGGCATTGTGTATCGATTCAGACGAGCAGCGTGTGAATGGCGAGTGGTCGTAGTTCGCGGAGTTTTTGTGATATATGCGTGAGACGATGATATGATAATGACATGACGAAATAAGAAGCTAACAGAAAATATTTTACCTTATTTCACTGTCAGTTGCACTAAAAAGATAAATATCTGCTGGAGATAACTTTCAGCGCACCGTGTCAAGTCTATTGTGTGACCGTCAAGCTACATTTACCACAAAAATGTACAATATTACACTTGCAAGTACCTTAGAGTTTTGTTCAAGGTTATATAAATGTACAAAACTAAACTTAAAAAGAGTTTATGCACATTTCAAACTGATTTTGAACCGTTTCGAAATATATATTAAATTAGCTTAGGGTAACTTTGGTTCAGGTAAGTGCACCATCCACCAAATATTATATACCTATGCAGACGAGGAGTCACAATAACGTGGCTGAAATATGTTGACCAGATCACACGTTAGAAAGTGAAGGGACGACGACGTTTTGGTCCGTCCTAGACCATTCTCAAGTCGATTTTGTATAAAATAGTCAAATATTTTCTGTTTTTCTTTTTTTCATCTTGCCATTATCGTCACACACATACATCATAAAAACTCCACGAACGACTACACGAAACGTCGTCCTTTCACTTTCTAGTGTGTAGTTTGGTCAAAATATTATATACGTATTTCAACACAGGAGTTACTCTGAGGCAACAGCAGTTGGTAGTACCTACCTGACGACGACGTTGATGTTGTCACAGTCGTCGGCGGCTTCGTCACAGAGGGAGCCGCGGGACCCCAGCGAGCGAGTCATGGTCTGATCCAGCGAGCTCACCGTCGACCCAAGCCTGGGCCAAAAAACACTTGACATTAATACTTCACATTCTACAAACAACCAAAATTCCCTGAAAAGAATACGAAATAGCATCAATAAATCTAAGTATCATAAAGATAAATCATTCTTTCGTTTCGCTTATAAGCTAGACTGCTCGACAATCAAGCATTCGACAGTCTAACAGTCGAATGCTAGACTGTCTTGTGAAAGACTCTTATCCCGCCAGCCTGCTGATTTTACGTCATCAAGCCGACCAGTAATGTCACGAGGCTTCACTGTACTCTTCACTCTTCTAGCCTCAAATAAAAGGTCAACTCTCAAGAAACATTACGAGAGATTTCTCCGTAAAATGACAAAAAAGTTCATTTAGTTACTGAAATATATTAATACATCTTATTTGGTTAATATGCACAGTGAACTAGGAATCATTTGAACTCTGGGTCAGGTAAGCGTTCATCGCCCTTTTATCAAAATGATCCACAAACACATCTCACATGCAACAGGAATCAATGACTGACAAGAACAAGACAAAAACACACTAATTCTTGGATCAACTCCTAAAGCTTCATACATTCGCATATTTCACCTTCACCATCTGAAACAGTGCCCTGTCGCAAGCCAAAATTTCAACGTCTCAATTTGTGTTACTTTCAGTTCCATAATTTCTCCCACTGCTTATTATATACAGCTCTATACATTTTTGCTATATACAGAGCAAAAATGGGAGTCAAAATGGTGCCGAAACATCGTCGTCTGTGGTTCAGTCTTCTTATGAGGTATTCAATTACATGTGTTAGTAATTTATTAACTGCTTCAACAATAAAGTTTGCCTCCATACTTGGGCTGGACAAATTAGATTTGTCCAGCGACGGTCTCGCTTCATGCAGGTCGGCGTTCAATCCAATCCGACCATCCAAATTGGTTGGGCACCATATTCCTTCCACCCGTCCCACCCCAAATCCTTATCCTGACCCCCTGCTTGCCAATCCGACCATCCAAGTTGGTTGGGCACCATATCCCTTCCACCCGTCCCACCCCAAATCCTTATCCTGACCCCTTCCCAGTGCCGTGATGACTTGGCGCTTTCTCCTGATAGTTCCCTTTCCTACCCTTCTTCTTGAGGTTTATCTTGAGATGATTTCGGGGCTTTTTTTAGTGTCCCCGCGGCCCGGTCTCCACCCCCAGGAAGCAGCCCGTGACAAATAATATACACCTGGAAGATACTGGAGGGCCAAGTACCAAATCTACACAGTAAAATAACAACGTACTGGAGTGAACGACATGGAAGAAAATGTAGAATAGAACCAATGAAGAGCAGAGGTGCCATAGGCACAATCAGAGAACACTGTATAAACATCAGAGGTCCGCGGTTGTTCAACGTCCTCCCAGCAAGCATAAGAAATATTGCCGGAACAACCGTGGACATTTTCAAGAGGAAACTAGATTTATTCCTCCAAGGAGTGCCGGACCAACCGGGCTGTGGTGGGTATGTGGGCCGCTCCAAGCAACAGCCTGGTGGACCAAACTCTCACAAGTCGAGCCTGGCCTCGGGCCGGGCTTGGGGAGTAGAAGAACTCCCAGAACCCCATCAACCAGGTATCAACCAGGTAACCAGGTAGCTGACTAACACCCAGGTACCTAATTTACTGCTAGGTAACAGGGGCATAGGGTCAAAGAAACGCTGCCCATTGTTTCTATCCGGCACCCGGGATCGAACCCAGGACCACAAGTCCAGCGTGCTGTCCGCTCGGCCGACCGGTTTAGCCCTTGGCTAAACGTGACAAAAATATGCTTCACATTTATCTCAAAGAATAATTCAGCATTCAATTTATAATTATGGATACAAGCTTGTATAATTCACAGTAAATCGCTATTGAGAATCGATTATTTTTTTGTTTCACAAATACCATAAATAATTCTGGCAGATCATTTCATAACTAATGGATATATATAAAATTTATAAAATTATAAATAAAATTTTATATTAAAGATATAAAATTTGTTAAAAAAAAAATAGGCTGTTAAAAAATTGTCGCTTTTTAGTTATTAAAAATGAAAATTAAACAACTCATTCAAATTAAATGACAAAACTTTATTAACTTAAAAAATAGGACAGAAATTTATTGCCGAGGCATTTTTGAAATTCAGTAAACTTAATTATTTATTCGGACAACTCCATGTCCGAATCAAGCTGCAGCAGGTGTTCGTAACCAAACTCTTCAATATTTTCTTTGAAGCACTTGTCCACAGATTCGTCAATTTCCTTCCATGTATGGATGTCCTCCTGGAGTTTGTCCGAATCAAACAGGTGCAGCAGGTGTTCGTAACCAAACTCTTTAAGATTTTCTTTGAAGCAATTGTCCATCAATTCCACAGATTCGTCAATTTCCTTCCCTGTATCGATGTCCTCCTGGAGTTTGTCCGAATCAAACAGGTGCAGCAGGTGTTCGTAACCTAACTCTTTAAGATTTTCTTCGAAGCACTTGTCCATCAATTCCACAGATTCGTCAATTTCCTTCCCTGTATCGATGTCCTCCTGGAGTTTGTCCGAATCAAACAGGTGCAGCAGGTGTTCGTAACCAAACTCTTTAAGATTTTCTTCGAAGCACTTGTCCATCAATTCCACATATTCCTTAAATTCCTTCCACGCGAGGATGTCCTCCTGGAGTTTGGGAAGACGACTATAGGAGCCCCGGTCCAGAGGGCACCGCGTGAAGGGGTCCAGCCCGGACTCCAGTATGAGGAGAATCAGCGTCGACTTGTCGATCACCATCTTGGAGGAGTGTAGCAGGACCGGCGCCTCCATCACCGCCTGCGTCACGCTGTCTCTGAACTCTTCCGGGACCTCCTCCGATGATTCCTCGTACGGCACTGGGAAATGATGGAAGAAAATACCGGAATCTGCTGCCTTCTTCGCAAGGGAAGATAGATACTGTGCGTGGTCAAGTCGCAGAACATGATAGAGTGAACTAAATTTATTAGATTCACGTATGTATCCGTAAGTTCTATCAAACAAGTCCACAAAAAGCTCGTATCCTTTATCTTCTAACGTCAAGCCAATTGTAACATATGACACGGTTATGGCAACTAGGGTATCTGCAGCGACCTTAGCCAGGCCAGGAGCTCTATAAATCTCCCCGAATTTCCTTAAATTCAAAAACATCGAATACAAATCGAAAGCAATCTCGGTCATACGTAACCCATCCTCTTCGTCTAAATCTAAGGATTCCTCTGCCATTTGTTTTAAGACCTTCATTAGATTGTAGAGCAAGGATACTTCTGGTCCGACATCAATTCTTGTTAACTGGTCATCTGCAGCATTACCAATACCATCAAGGTGGCCATAGTCATCAAGGGTGCATAACATATCTCCAAGTCCACAAAGTAATTCTGCATCTTTTTCCTCTGGATCTAGATGATCGAGATCCATATATTTTCTGTTGATCACCAGGCCTGCAGCTGCTTGCCTTCCAGAGGCGGCATCCTGCAAGAAAGTCTTTGGCCAAATGTTGATTAAAAGAACCATTCTCAGACGCAGGTACGGGTTAGGGCACATCTCTGGGTCTGCGAACATTGTTAGTATCCAGGGCTTCACGACAGACTCCATCGCGCTTAAATTGTCGTCATTTTCAGGGTCACAAGATGTTGCTAGGTCCATAATTTTCCAAAGGACATCTTCCCATTGCCCAGTCATCTTGACCGACGTCTTATGCAAGGAAAGAGTTAATGTGCACAAAATTCCAAGTTGTAATCTGCCAGCAAATAATATCGTAGAATAGTTATTATCCAAGACAAGAATGTCTTCAGATTCCTCAATAAAGTCTATCATTTCGTCGGCAGAAAATTCTTCACCAAGGTTCATTACGTCGACTAAGATCGATAGTGGAAGACTAGGAAAACAATGAGCTACAGCTGTGGCATCCATTGTCTCGGAACGTGTGACAGACTGAGAGTAAGAATAGTTCCAACACGCTACCAACTGCAAATGAATAACTAACTCTCTTGACCGCAGGTTAATATATAGGTCGCGCTAGGAGGAGGTGACGTGACAAGCCTGGAGATTGAGGTGTATGTGCAGGCTGCTTCACGCTCCCTCACTTGTTATTAATTAAAAATAAGTTTCTAGAATACAAATTATAGAAACAAACCTATTACCTTACTTCGAAAATTTACACACAAATTTGAACTCTTTGGTTATAAATATCTGACACCATTTATTATAAGGAACTAATCAATGTTTTCAAGGCAAGTGATCTATCTTATGTTAAAACCTTATGAATAAACGTAACTGTAGAAGAAATGGCCCATACGAGGCAGCTCCTATTTAAAACCACCCAATCTCATTCATATATATGTCCAACCTACGCTTGAAACAATCAAGGGACCCCACTTCTATTATATTACGCGAACAAGTCTATGTGGGTGAGGAACGAGGACAAGTTGACTAGTTTAGCAGTTACCAGTGAGGATGTAATTAAACAAATAGTAAAACTCAAACCAAACAAATCCCCAGGGCCGGATGAAGTGTTTGCCAGGGTGCTTAAAGAATGCAAAGATTAGCTTTCCGAACCACTGTCTACCATATTTAATAAATCAACAGAGTTAGGCAGAGTGCCAGAGTCATGGAAGGTAGCTAATCTAAGAACCTAAGAATAAAGGCAACTGCAGAAGGCCTATTGGCCCATACGAGGCAGCTCCTATTCATAACCACCCAATCCAGGGAAATGAATGTATGTCGAGGGCACTTGGTGTCAATTGCCGGCTGGAAAGATATTGCAAATCAAATGCAATATCTTTCATAGACAACTGGGAACATGACTATGGAAGAAATGAAATGTATGCTCGTGATGGGGTGCATCTATCGAGGGCTGGGGTTGTTGCTGTTGCGAACTCGTTGGAAGAAGTGGTTAGAGGTGTTTGTTTGGGTTTAAACTGTTAGTAGATAGTGGTATGGGAATTGATTTGGAGGAAGGAGGTAATAAAAGTATGTGTTTGTGGGAGAAAGGAATTGGC